TCTTCAACTCCGCCAGGCCCCTCTGTCTCCCCTGCTTCAGCTTCTTCAACTCCGCCAGGCCCCTCTGTCTCCCCTGCTTCAGCTTCTTCAACTCCACCAGGCCCCTCTGCCTCCCCTAACTGGGCATCTTCAACTCCACCAGGCCCCTCTGCCTCCCCTAACTGGGCATCGTCAAATCCACTAGGCCCCTCTGCCTCCCCTGGTTCAGCTTCTTTAACTCCACCAAGTCCCTCTGCCTCCCCTGGTTCAGCTTCTTCAACTCCACCAAGTCCCTCTGCCTCCCCTGGTTCAGCTTCTTCAACTCCACCATGTCCCTCTGCCTCCCCTGGTTCAGCTTCCTCAATTCCACCAGCCCCCTTTTCCTTCCTTGGTTCAGCATCTTCAACTCCACTAGGCCCCTCTGCCTCCTCTAGTGTTGCATCTTCAACTCCACTAAGTTTCTGGTTTCCCTCATCCTCTTGTCCCTCCTGCACCCCAGAACTAGAGCCTACTCCTGGCTCCACCCCTCTATCAGCTCCTTGGACACTTCCAGTCCTTGAGGGATGCTCCTGAAGCAATCCTATTCCTGCCTCTCCAGGAGCCTGCTCTGCTGTCTCCCTACTAGTAGTGCAACTTTCCTTCTTCTTCCTTAGAATTTGCCACAAGTCATAGGTCTTTTCAATGGGGGCGCTCCCTGCTCCCGCTGTGACCCTAGTAGATGTGGGGCTAACTTTCTTCTTCACACAGGCCTTGCAGGGACAAAACTCCTCCCCCCCAGCATTCCCACCCAGCTCCATCCCTGGGACTCCAAAGCTGGATAGTTCGTCCTCCAGGGTAAGGGAGAGAAGCCCCTGGACTCGAGTCTGCTGAGTGAAGGCGGAGAGGTTGTGCAAGCCCTGGAGGCGCCTGCGTCGCTGCTCCGTCTGTAGTGATGTCTCCCTGCGCATCGCTTCTCTTGGTGGCCGAGGCTCCTTCCTGGCTGCTCGGCTCTGGATCTTTCCCAACTCCTGCTTGACGCTGTCCTGCAGACGTCGGCTCACATCCTCATGCAGCTCTGCCACCATCTGGTCCAGCAGGTCATGGTTCTGCAGACCCCAGCGGGCTCGGAGTGCGGTTGTGGCGCTGACAAAGTGCATCATGAAAGTCCTCTCCATCTTCTTCAGCAAATTGAACACCCAGATGGGATCAGGATCCAGGGACGCTCTGTGGACCATGGAGCTGTTCTTCTCCTCCATCCCTTGAAGGAAATTGACCTGGGTTTGCTCACTGACCATGTCAGCACTTCTGGATGACTTTTCCAAAGCAGTCTCAAAGGTGGGGCCCCTTGCATGCTCAAGGAAACAGGAGTCACGTTCACTGGAGCTGTCTGAGGGCCCTATTGTTCTACCCCTCAGTCCTGGAGAACATGGGTCTACCAAGTCAGGGTCTCTTTCTGCTTCCTCTTTCTGCATTCTAGTGCCTTCTGGTGTGCCCTCCCCATCCTGAATGCCATCCTCTGGCAATTCTTGTTCATCGACTCTTTCCTCTTTTGGAAACTCTTCTTCCTTACTATGCTTGTTTTTCCACTCTTTATCTATTTCTTCTTGTGTTTTCTCTTCTTGTACCTCATCTTCCTGCATCATGTTTTCAACTTCTTGTTCTAAACTATTGCTCACCTCCTTGTTGTCTTCTCCTGTTTCATCCTGACGTGTGGTACAAGCCCAGTCTTGGGAGTGTGAGGAGGCATTGGAACAGTTCTGGTGTTGGTTTCTCAGATCCTCTGGGTTTTCTGAGGTGCTAGAGTCAGGTTTCTGAGGGGAAACAATGCTTGTCACCATTTCCAAGGGCACCTCTATCCTCTCAGTAGCCAGGGCACAGTCCACAGGGCAAGGCACGTTGCCTTCCCCAGAACCTGCAGAACCACTGCTGACGTCCACTCCTGAGGAGGACGTGGGAGTAAAGTCCTCGGTCACAGGGTGAGTGGAGCCTGGCAGAGTCTGGTCTGACTTAGGTTTTTGGAGACCTAAGTCCAGCTTGTCATGTTGTGGCCACAGAGACTGGAAGGTAGCCAGGAGCTCCTGAAAACGAGGGGAGTCTGTGAACCTCACTTTGCTGACAGGAGACCCATGGTCTTCATCAAAGAAGTGGAGCCTGGCAAGGCAGGTAACTAGGTCACTGGCAGAGTGGCTGAGCCTCCTCCCTACCACATCGGACACTTCGGGCATACTGCTGGGCCGGTCCTGTTTGGAGCTGATCAGGGTTTTCATGATGTGTATAGAGGGAGGGATCTGGTTAGGCAGGACATTCTCATGCACAGCAAGGTTCACAGTGGTTCTCTTGCTGGCTCTGGCCTCCTCATGAGCATCTGAAACACCTCTGGAAGCTCCTCTATGGGAGGAAGTCTCTTCTGGTTTGGGACTAGCAACTTCAGTCCCTAAAGGTACATCTAATCTTGGTGTCACATTGGTTTTCCCTTCCAGGGGCTGTTCCCTGACTTTAGGCAACTTCTCGTGACCTTTCAGAGAGTGCTTGTCAGGTGGGTCTTCCTGGGTGTCTTCTGAGCCATCCATAGTTGCACTGGAGTTCTCATCCATCATCTCATATTTCATGAGTATGGGTTCTTCTGGGATGTGGCTCAGCCAGTCACATATTACAGCTTCTGGTGAGAGGTGGGGAAGAGCACTGGGCATCATGACATCATCGTCACCTTGCTCCTTGAGGCTCTCTTCTTCACCAGCAATCTTCCCCTGCGACATCCCTCTGGGACTGAAGCTGGGACCAAGGCTGGAACTGGAGCAGGGGCTACTCCTCACAATTGCTCTGACTGCTCCCCCTGTGACTCCCAATTTTGAGCCTAGGGGCTGTGGGCTCAGTCCATTGAGCCTTTGTGGCCCCTGCTCACCTTCACCTGGCCCTCTATCCACACTTTGATTGATGTCACTGTTGCTACTGCTGCTTGAAGAACGTTTCTTGACATAGGAGTGTCCCCTTGGGGGTGTAGGGCAATACCTGCTACCTACCAATGCCCCAGAGATGGGGCGTGGACTCCCCTGTGACTGGGAAACCTGAAGGGTCTGCATTTTACCACCATGGATCTCACAGACCAGGGAGGTGGGACTAATTTGGGAGCAGCATTTACCAACGTGATCTCCTGATTTCACTCTGTTAGGCCTTTTCACTGGCTGAGCAAGAGGTGAGGAGATCTTGGAAATGTTGCTACCTGCCTTTTCACCCAGGCAATCAGCTCTGATGTGAGAACTGAAGGAATCTGATCTGGTGGAAGGGCTGGGGGCTGGTGAGCTCGCCTTGGTCTCAGGGTCCTCTTCAGTCTCAGCAGATGTGAAGTGTGAGGGGTAGAAAGAAGAAGCACAGTCTGTTTTGTGTGGCTCGGAATTACTGACAGGTGTGAAGGTAGCACTGCTGCTCCCCAGTGGGTACTGGGAGTGAGGGGAGTCACAGAAGGGAGAGTCTGGGTCCTTGGAGGCCTGCTTAGATGATCTTCCAAGAGAACTTGGTGCTGGGTGATCCGGGCAAGACCCTCCTTGGTTAGCAGGAGTCAGTGTCTGCTTGGTTGCTGGTGAGTCTAATGGGTAGTGGGTGTCTCTTTGGTGGTGCTGTATTTGGTGGCTTCTCTGGGAAATGTTGCCAGAGTCAGAAGTGTTGGGTGAGGGCACAGTACTGGCTTGGCGCTTCTGCTTTTTCTTCCTCCTCTGGGCTGAGGCACAAGAAGAAAGTGAAGAAGAGTGCCCTTCAGCACCCTTTGAGTTAGAATGGCCCGTTACGGTTAACCTCATTACTGTTCCATCACTGGCTTTGTAGATCCCAGCGTCCTGTCCACTCTCCTCTGCCTGTAAGTCTCTGGTCCTCAAAGATGAGGGACTCAAAGCGGAGCAGTTAGTGCTGCCCTCCTGGGTGTGCTCCTGCTGTGAAGTTACGGAGTCCCTCCTGCTTCTGCAGCTCCTGCACAGTCCACCCCTTTCACTGGACTTCTCGAGAGACCTGGCACTCATTGATGAATAAGGAAGGGCACCCTCCAAGCCACAAGACCCAGGGCTCAGACAGCCCAGTGAAGGCTCTTCTTCACTCCCCTCCTCTTGAGCTAGTTGATTTCTGTTGCCTTCCACTGTTTCTTTTGAATGTGAGTTGAATTCCAGGTTTGAGGCCCTACCAGCCCCAAGCCTGCAGTCAGCTACTTCACCAGCTCCTTTATTGGAGATAGCCTTGGAGGCCTGATGCCCCCTGAGGCTGTCCATGCTGTCCTTCCGGGTCCTGTGGCAGCAGGGGAAGCCTGGCTCAGAACCTGCTGTGGGTCTGTCATTGGAGGCTGAGCTGACGCTGGCTTTATTGGGTTTTTTCCTGTTGGTAGCTCCTTGGCTGCAGGAAGCCCTGGTATGGCAGTGCTGAGTGAGCTGGCTGCCCCGCCAAGAATCTATTTCCTCTTTCTCAGACTTGTACAGGGGATTTGTCCAGATCTCATAGCTCAGGCCAGTCTGCTGGCTTTGGTTAGATACCTTTTCACCTCTGGACACATAGGACCTCTGCCCCAGTGCTCCATGATCTGAGAAGTCTCCAGGGTTGCCCTCCCACACACAATGTAGGGGATCCACCTCCCCAGGGACACGGTGCCCCCCACTGGCTGTTGTGACAGTGCTTGCCTTCCTGACACCCGTGGACCACAAGAGAGTGTCCTCACTGAGAAGGTGGAAACGAACTTTCATCTCCACAGACAGACTGCCATCTTCATTCATGTGGACCTTCTTCTCAAAGTCATCATCAGCCACCAAGGGACCAAGGTGGGCATGTGTGTCCTGAAGGTGCTTACGAAGGACAGATCCCATGCAGGTGTGAGGCAAGGACACTGGGGGTTCACTGACATCAGACTTCTCAGACATCAAGGAGAATTGTCGTGACCTGTTACCTGATTTGGACCTTGAGTGAATGATGCTCTGCTTGGTCTTCAGTCCCCAGCTCCCTGGTGCACATGAAGAGTAAGAGGAAAGAGAAAATGATGGTGAGCAACTGTGAGGAGTACCAGGGTAAAAGCATCAAGGCTGTACATGAACCTCTCACCACGTAACACCATTTCCACTTCCAAAACAGCACACATAGGGCAGAACTCACTCCACAATAAACATTCACAGAGCTTCCAATTGTGAACCATCATAGCTTGCTGAGAGGAGTATAAAGTCTGAATTATTCCTAAATCTGCCACTAATAGCCATGTATCTTTAGGCAGAGCCTGTTTTCTGAGTTATCAAATAAGAATAATATTATCTATTTGGTAGGTTTGTTCTGCTGATTGGAGGTGATGTAGGTAAAAATTTCTATATTTTTTTAGCACATAGTGGTTTCTAGGTAGCGGAGATAACAGAGCAGCAGTGTCCATGGCTAACTCTCATCTCTTTTCAGCATGGGGAGTGAAATCAATAAGCTGCTGCATATGAACCTGATTGTAGGCCATGAAATGCTTTGCAGTGATTAGTGGTGATTTATCTTCCTAACACTCATCAAGCTCTTGGTTTGATAAATGATTGCAAGGAAGGACCTGCTCATACATTATCCGATGCTGAGAAGTAATCCTGAGCCCCAATCCAGGAAAGGCATAAAAAGCCACTTGAGAGTAGAAAGCAGCAGCTCTAGTAAAGAATCGAGCATTCTGTGCTTTCTCATTTTACTTCTTGAGGTAACCATTGCCAGAAGGAAGAGCTACCAAAGTCCAAGTCCATGTTCACAAATGAACACAGTACATCTGCGTAGGGGAAGACTTTACAAAATCCTGAACCTCTATGTGTTATTATGCACTATTTAGTCATATCCAACTCATAGCTGACCCTAAAGGTGGGTTTTCAGAGGCTGTGTACTGCAAAGGAGGGAAATACCCACCTGGCTCCCATTCCAACTGAGTTTCTTTGGGTTGGGAGCATAACTGCTTCCCGCTAGTGCAGCAGAGCACCTGAGAAGGTATTCTGGGCAAAAGTCTGTCTAGATTACAAAATCCAGAGCCTGCTACACAGTAGGCATTCTGGCTGGATAGATAGGTGACTGTGCAGATATATGAACAATCCATTAATATCACTACTCCTAGTTCTTTTGATTTCTCTGAAGGCCCTGCTGTTTAAAAAAAAAAAAAAAGTTGATTTTTCAAGAACTTAGACCTGATATTCAAGCCTGCATCTCCAATATTGCAAAGGTCACGGACATACATTCCATTACATGCATAATGTCATGCTGACCATCATTCTTAATAAAGATTAAATTAAAACCTACGAACTCAAAACTAAAGCTCTCTAGTTCCTATTTCCTTTACATAGCATACTCCCTTTCCTCCTTTTCCAGTCAAATGTCCAACTTGGTTAAGGTTGATGAAGATGAAAAGGAAGAAAACACTAAAGAGACCAAAAACTAATTGGGATAACCAATAACTGGGCCAAGGGCAGTAAAATCGCTGGAAGCAATATCTCCTCTACCCTACTAGACAATCACCCAGAGCAAAACTGGTGAAGAAAATAAAACCAACTCACCATTTTTATTCCTTGAAGTCAGGCCAATTACAGTTTCGGTCCCATTTTTTTTAGAATTTTCCATTACTAGAGGTCTAAAAGACTCATGACCAGCACACACCAGCACTGAGGGGCCATGATGCAAACCCTGCAAAGAATCCACCTGACAAAAAAGAAATAAAATAAATAAAAATGACGTTGTAAGTCCTAGTCTGCAGAGCCACTTCTTCCTAAGAATATCTAAGTGAAGAATCCTCTCCCTACAGCACCTTCCTGATTTTGGCATATTTTACTCATGATTCTTGATCCATGAGAAAAATCCTTATTCCTCATAACTCCTATACCATCATTTGAGGGCAAAGATACTACCACTATAATCTTTAACACTAACTACATCCCTCCTTTAACTATTATTGAGGCCTGTGGTTTGGAATTTACTCTGAGGTAGAAGAGATTTTAAGCAGTCTTGTCAGTTAACTTTGATGCTTGCACTTCAGAATATTTATTTTTTTAAAGTAATCAGCGACTAAAGTGCCCAAGATTCCACAGGGAGACCTGATTCACTGTTTTACTGTTTTCCTAAGCAGAGAATCCTCTCCTGGATTTGACCTGTGTTTTCCATCCAATCCAAGCTTCTCTCCTAGCAGGTGAGGAAAAGGCAGGAACAATTCCCTTTGTGGGTAACTATTCCCTTCTATGTTCCTACTGTAGTTCTTTAGGTTCCTGGGCAAACACTTTGTCATCCTCCCACCCTACCAACTTCTCCCACCAACTCCAGTCAGAATGCCCCGTCACTCCTAGGTAAGAGTAGAGCATGCAATACCTATGCTGTATTCCATGACAAAACCAAATGTTCTTACATTTAAAATCCCACCTACCCCAAGACGCTCTTGCATATCTTAGAGTTTTCACTATTTAAAGCATTATGCTAGGTAGCAGTGATCGGTGGGGATTATCTCCATCTTTAAAATGTGAAATGTATTCTTTTTCATTTTCTTAGATTTGGAGGGTGCACTTAGCAATAAGGACATGAAAATGAAAGAGAATGTTTACATCTTTTTCCTAAATTATAGCTTGTAAGTTTGCTGTATGCAAGAATATCTTTCAACATATTTATTAGAAGTTTGTTGGGTTTTTTAAAATTTATTTTATTGGAAGTTTACAGAGACTTTGTATTTCCATTCATTCATTTGTATTTCCATTCATTCATTCTCCTCCAATTAATTTTTTGAAAAGTAAAACATTCTCTCATTGTTATTCTATCCCTCCCCCCAACTCCACTCCACTATGCTACCTACCTTCCTTCTGGACTCCTGTCATAAAAATAATATCTAATCATATATCCCTTTTAAAACTGTTCTCTCCCTCATCTGTTTCAATGCAGTAGACATTATTTACCCCCTCTTTCTCAGTTTCTCCACAACCCCTATGTCAGTCTCTTTTATAACAGTGGCATTATGCCATATTTGTCTTTTTTTGACTGACATATTTCATTCAGCATAATGTCCTCCAGGGTCATTCATTTTGTGTAATATTTCATGAGTTCCTTGCTTCTCAATGCTGCATAGTTTGTTTTAAGCTTCCAAGTAGCTTATGATGATTTAGATTTCTTGTCCAATGCAAAACTCAAATATAAGAACGTGGAAGCAATGTGTAGATCTATGTGGAGACATAACTATGCTTCAAGGAAATGAGACTCTGGTGACCTAGTGGTAAGGAGCTGTGCTGCCAACCCAAAGATGTGGTTCTAATCCACCAGCTGCTCCAAGGGAAGAAGATAGTCTCTCTCCCATTCTATACAATTTACAGCCTCTGAAACCCCACTACAGGGTTCTGAAATTATAGCACAGCAATAACAAAAAGAAAATGGAATTAAGAGCTAGTGATGTCCTCATTTTTAATTATAAGGCACCATTTCACCATAATTGGAAGAATGGAAGGTCTAGGATTCAGGATAAGAGAGCATCATTGAGTATATTCATCCAGTAGAATAGACTCACATCTACTGTCATCAAATTAATGCTGACTTATGGCAACTTTCCATCAGGTTTCCTAGGCTATAAGTCTTAACAGAGAAAAAACCTGCTTAATCTTTCTCATGTTAAGCAGTTGGTAGGTTCAAACTGTTGACTATCAGTTAGCAGCTGAGCACCAGCTAACCTCTCAAAAACCAAAACTCACCACCCTCAAGTAAATTCCAACATATGGTGACACTCCATCAGGTTTTCAGGTTACAAATCTTAATGGGAGAAAACTACTTATCTTTCTTCCATGAAGTGGCTGGAAGATTTGAATTCCCAGACTCTTGGTAAGTAGCCCAATATGTAATAGATTTGCTACAACACACACTAATGACCAAAGATTAATTGGATCGTGCATGAAGAATGGAAAGAGTAATTTAAAAGACAGTGGAAAAAAAAGAAAAGACTAAAATGAATGTCAGAAGAGTCACTGAAACTTACTATAGAAAAAGAGAAGCTAATGAGGATGAAATTATGAAGTAAGAGAGCTGAAAAAAAATTGTTCCAAAGAACAGCTCAAGAAACAGAAAAAAAATTATTACAAAGAAATATGCAAAGCCCAGGTATTTCCTAAGCTGAAAGAACAAAAGAAAGAAAGAAAGAGAGAGAGAGAAAGAAAGTTAAAAAAAACCCCAACCCTAAGCTTAAGTTACATATGCTAAAGAATTCTAATAGTAAAATATTAAATTATTCAGGAAATGTCACAAGAAAATGGAAGACAACTGAGAGTCACTAGGCCAAAGGGCATTGGTCATGGGTCAACCTTGAAAAAATTTAAGGGAGGAGACAGCATCTTCTCAAGAATCTATGGTACTGAAGAAATAAGCACTGTGTTTCTATGCCCTATGTGCGTTTCTTCTACATGCATCATTTCTACATGTGTTGCTTCTATACCATGTATTCAGTGAATTAACTAGGTATCTGCCAAACCCCACCCCCACCACAACTTGAGGCCACTGGCCCTGCCTCCTGAACCCCTGAACCTGCCACCTGAAGGACCTTACCCAGCTTCCTGGACCCTCCCACCTGCCGTGTGGTAGCCTTGCAACAGCCCTTCACCTGTAAGTTTCAGTCCTGCTGTCGGGATGCTCCCTCCCCTTGCCACCTGGAAGTACTGGCTCTGCCACCTGGAAGTTCCACCCCAATCACCTGGAAGTCCCACCACCAACAACTGGAAGTCACACCCTAACTGCCTGGAGGACCTGACACCAGCACTTGGAGGGCCTGGCCCCACAGCCTGGATGCCCCAGCCCCCAAAACTGGAGGATGACCTGCTGCCACTCCTATGAACTGCATCAGAGACATCAGTATCAAAAGTGAACACTTTCATTTCATCTCCCCTCCCAAAGCGTGAGCTGCCTTCAGCCCAGAGCACCTTGGACTACCCTAGCTGCAGCAGTTGCCTGACAGAAGAGGCTGCTAATTCATGGGCCTTATCTCTCCCTAACAGAAGCAAGTCTTTACTTGAGCCAAAAGTTCAGAGAAAACTCAGACAGAGTAGCTGCCCCACTCACCTCTGGAGCAGTGATGTCAGACCAAGAGCCTGCTATTGCTCCAGACATGGAAAAACTCTACTGTAGCAATATAATGTAGGAAGCAGGCTATTTTACATCCCTACACAAACCCAAAGCAAGATGTTACTCCCAAAACATGACACAGTAACAATCAATGGATTTACTGAAACCAGAAAGTCTGATGGAACTTTCTGACACAGAATTTAAAAGAACAATGATAAAAAAAAAGAAGAAGAAGGATAGAATATTTTCAATGGGGGAAAGACCAAATTGAAGAATTATAAGACACTGCAAGCAAAAAATAAGAGGAACATAAAAAATAATCCAAAACAATGCAGAGAAAACAAATGTGGCATTTGAAGCTCTGAAAAACAAGAAACCACAATCCAAAATATGAGGACCAATGTTTCAGATGCTTTTATCATGTTGGAGGGACATATGAACAGAGTTAAATAAATGGAACACAAAACAAGTGAAATAGGAGATAGAATTGCCACCACTGATCTGCTAGAACAAAAAGAATCAAAAAGAAAGGAAAAAGAAGAAAGCCTAAGAATAATGTGGGACACCATCAAGAGAAATAACATGCACATAATTGGTATCTCAGAACAGGAAGAAGTAAAGGCACTGAGAAAGTTGTGAAAGAATTACTAGAAGAAAACTTTCCAGGCATAATGAAGAATGAGAGTATATATATTCAAGAAGCTGAGGAAACACCATATAAAATAGACCCCAAAAGTAAAACACCAAGGCATATCATAGTTAAATTTGCCAGAACCAAAGATAAGAAGATAATTTTAAAAGCAGCAAAGGAGAAACAAAGAGTAACCTATAAGGGAGTATAAATAAGATTAAGTGAAGATTTCTCAACAGAAACCATGTGAACAAGAAGATTGTAGAATGACATATATCTCGAATACTGAAAGAACACAAATATCAACTGAAAATACTATCCCCAGTAAAACTGTCCATCAAATATGAAGGAGAGATCAAAATATTTCCAGAAAAACAGAACCTAAGGGAGTTTGTTTTTATCTACAATTGGGAAGGGAGTACACCAGGGATGTGACCTGTCTCCATACCTTTTCAACCTGTATGCAGAGCAGATTATCTGAGAGGCTGGGCTCTATGAGGAGAATTGTGGCATCAGGATTGGCGGAAGATCTATTAACAATCTGCATTATGCAGATGACACAACCCTGCTTGCTGAAACTGAGGAGGACCTCATGCACTTGCTGCGAAGGGTCAAGGACTGCAGCCTTCAATATGGACTGAGGCTCAATGTCAAGAAGACAAAGATTCTCACCACTGGACCAATTGGCAGCGTCAGGAAGGGTGAAGAGATAGATATTGTTCACAGTTTTAGTTTGCTTGGCTCCACAGTCAACACTCTTGGCACCAGCAGCCAAGGAAATGAAAAGACGTATTGCCATGGGAAAGTCTGCTGTTAGGGGCCTCTCTAAAGTACTCAAAAGCAACGGTGTGTCTCTGGAGACAAAGGTGCATCTGGTACAGGCCATGGTCTTTGCAATCACTTGTTATGCATCAGAGAGCTGGACAGTGACTAGGGAGGACAGAAGGAAAATTGATGCCTTTGAGCTGTGGTACTGGAGAAGAATATTGAATGT